TGAGAGGACAATTCAACGACATTGAACAGGAAACTCTCCCTAGGCCAGCATTGAACCACAGGCCAGTGTTGCTGAAAGTAGGTGAGCAGTGAGTTGATTCTCATGGTAAGTCCTTTTAAATTAAATTTGATGTTCTTTGAGATTGATGGGTTTCAAGCAAAGTTAGAACTTACAAAAACGGTAGCAGTTCTTTGAACCCCAAGGTGATCTGACCCAAAATCTCTGCTGGAAGCTTAAACATATTAAGATTTAAGCATTAAATTAAAATCTAGTGTCGTGACAAGTTTGGGTTCCTGCAAAGAAGACTGAATGAGGTTTTGAGGAAGATCAAAGAGTTAGATAAGGAGGAAAGCCCCATCTTGTGAAAAGCAACAGAAAGATGTAGTACAAGATGAATTTGACCAATTAGCATATATAGAAGAAACTGCTTTGAGGCAACGTTTCAGGGTTCTGTGGTTATAGGCAGATGACAAGAAATATCAAGTTCTTCCACAAAATTGCCAATGCCCAATGAAGACATAATGCTATAACCTCCATCAAAATTGATTCTAACACCTTTGAAGGCAAAGGGTAGGTAGCTTCAGCAGTAGTTGGCTTTTATGATCTTTTTGCTACAAGTGATGCCTTGTGTCCCAACTAAACAGGGTGGTTTTCGATCGTATTCCTGGAGCTGCAGGGGCACATCTAAAGTCCAGATTTGAGGAACATGAGGTGATCCAGGCCCTTCCAGACATGCAGGTGATAAAGCCCCTCACCCTGACGGGTTTCCTATGGATTTGTATCAGCAATGTTGGTCCTTTGTTGGAGATGACTTTATGGCAGCAATGAATGAGTTCTATGACAAGACACTTCTACCTATTGAAGCAAGGTCTACATTTTAACCCTAATACCAAAAATTCAGGGAGCTTCTGAGTTAAAGGATAACAGGCCAATCGATTTGATCTCTAGTGTTTATAAATTAATTTCTAAGGTGTTAGCTAATTGGCTACATAAGGTCTTACAGTATGTTGTCTCATCATCTCAAGGAGCTTTTGTAGATGGGCATCAGGTTCTG